CCAAAAAAAACCCCTTTTTTCATAAAAAAAATACCTTTTTTCCTAAAAAAATCCCATTTTCCCAAAAATATTCCCTTTTTTCCTACACTTATTCGTCTTTTTTCCCCCAAAAATCCCTTTTTTCCTAAAAAAAATCCCTTTTTTCCCAAAAAAATCCCTTTTTTCCTACAAAAATCCCATTTTCTAAAAACATTCCCTTTTTTTCTATGCTTCTTCGTCTTTTTTCCCAAAAAAACCCCCTTTTTTCCAAAAAAATCCCATTTTTCCCAAAAAAACCTTTTATTCTGAAAAGAATTCCTTTTTCTTACAATTATTCCTCTTTTTTCCCCAAAAAAAATCCCTTTTTTCCCAAAAAAAATCCCTTTTTCTTTACATTTATTTGTCTTTTTTCCTCAAAAAATCCTTTTTCCCCAAAAAAATCCCTTTTTTCTTAAAAAACTCCCATTTTCAAAAAAAAAAATCACCTTTTTCTACTCTTATTTGTCTTTTTTCCCAAAAAAAATCATTTTTCCCAAAAAAATCCCTTTTCCTTTACATTTATTTGTCTTTTTTCCCAAAAAAATCCCTTTTTTCCCCAAAAAAATCCCTTTTTTCCCCAAAAGAATTCCTTTTTCCCACATTTATTCCTCTTTTTTCCTCAAAAAATTCCCTTTTTTCCCCAAAAAATTCCATTTTCCCCCCAAAATTCCCATTTTTTAAAAAAAAATCCCTTTTTTCCCAAAAAATTCATTTTTTTCCCCCAAATTTTCCCTTTTTTCCCCAAAATTTCCCTTTTCTTCCCAAAAAAATCCCTTTTTTTCCTACGTTTCTCTTTTTTCCCGAAAAAATGAATTTTTCCCCCCAAAAAATCCCACGGATCAGAGTGGGCGTGGCTTCTCTTAAAGGGCCAGCACCCCATAAATAACAATGGGAAATGAGATTGGGTGGGCGTGGCTTGTTTGGGGGCGTGTCCTGAATTCTGCACACGGCTCACAGTGGGAGGGGCCTCTCTTAAAGGGCCAGCGCCCTATAAATATTAATAGCAATGATACAGGGTGGGTGTGGCTCGAGTGGGCGTGGCTTGGGTGGGTGTGTCGGGATGAGGGCGTGTCCTGAATTATGCACACGGCTCACAGTGGGAGGGGCCTCTCTTAAAGGGCCAGCACCCCATAAATACCAATGGAAAAAGACACAGGGTGGGCGTGGCCGGAAGGGGCGTGACTGGAGTGGTCGTAGCTTGTCTGGGGGCGTGTCCTGGATGATGGGCATGGCTCAGAGTGGGAGTGGCCTCTCTTAAAGGGCCAGCACCCCATAAATACCAATTGAAAATGACACAGGGTGGGTGCGGCTCGAGTGGGCGTGGCTCGAGCGGGCGTGTCGGGATGAGGGCGTGTCCCACCTGAGGGCGTGGCCTCGGGGCCCGCCCAGGAACTGGTGCAGGTCTCCGTGCTCCATGTACTCGGTGACGATGCACAGGGGGCCGGGCCCCCCGCACACCCCCAGCAGCCGCACGATGTTGGGGTCCCGCAGCCGCCCCAGCGTCCGCGCCTCCTGCAGGAAATCCCGCCTGCGGCCACGCCCACCGCCCCGCCCCCACCCCCCGGGTGTGGGATCAGCACAGCTGGGTACACCTGGGGTACACCTGGGGTGACACCTGGGGTACACCTGGGGCACACCTGGGCACACCTGGGTACACCTGGGCACCTGGGTACACCTGGGGTACACCTGGGGTACACCTGGGTACACGCTGAGCACACCTGGGCACACCTGGGGTACACCTGGGTACACCCTGAGCGCACCTGGGCACACCTGGGCACACCTGGGTACACCTGGATACACCTGGGTACACCTGGGTACACCCTGAGTGCACCTGGGTACACCTGGGGCACACCTGGATACACCTGGGCACCTGGGTACACCTGGGGTACACCTGGGGTACACCTGGGTACACCTGGGGCACACCTGGGTACACCCTGAGTGCACCTGGGCACACCTGGGTACACCTGGGGTACACCTGGGTACACCCTGAGCACACCTGGGCACACCTGGGGTACACTTGGGGCACACCTGGGCACACCTGGGCACAACTCGGTCCCCTCCCAGTCCCTCCCAGTTCCATCCCAGTCCCTCCCAGTCCCTCCCAGTCCCCTCCCAGTCCATCCCAGTCCCTCCCAGTCCCTCCCAGTCCCTCCCAGTTCCCCCAGTTTCCGTACCGGGCGTTCTTGGTGGCGTCCGGCCGCAGCACTTTGACCGCCACCAGCAGGGGGCGCCCTTCGGCCGGGGGGGCGGGGACTGAGCCGGTGGGAGTGGCCAGGCCAAGGGTGTGGGGGGCGATGACCTCACACAGCAGCACCTGGGGGCGGGGCCAGAGGAAGGGGCGGGGCGATGACGTCACAACAGCAGCGCCAAGCTCAACATGGCGGCACTAAGGGGCGTGGCCAATGCAAATAAGGACATGACTATGCCATAGTGGGCATGGTCTCAGAAGGGGCGTGGCCAAATATTATGGGGCGGGGCTAAAACCCTCAGGGGTGGAGCTGAACCCTCGTGTGCGCGGCTAAACCACAGGGGGCGTGGCTTGATGCCGAGGGGGTGTGGCTTACCTCTCCAAACTGCCCCTCCCCCAGCTTCTCCCGGAAGCGGAGGCGGTGCCGGGGGAAGGAGGGGAGGGCGGGGCCGTGGGCGGGGCCATGGGCAGGGCCAGCCAGCGCGTAGGCGGAGCCTCCGGTGACGTCAGCCTCGGCGTAAGCCCCCGCCCCCCCCTCAGGTTCACCTGGGCAGGGTGGGAGGGGCACAGGTGAGGTCGATGCGGGCGTGGCCTAAGTGGGCGTGGCCCTTTCCCGGCCCCACCTTTACCGTCGGTGTTGATTGGTTTGGTGCCATCGGGCGGGGCTCGGGCGAGGCCTCCCATTGGCCGAGCGTAGGTGGCCAGGAGCAGCCGATAGGCCGGATTGGCTGGGGGGGGAGGGGCGTGGTCAGAGAGGGGCGTGGCCAAATCAGGAGTGGGGTTTTCCCTCCCTTCCATCCCTGAATCCCCCTCCCATTCCCAAGGGATTTTTGGGGCCGTTTTGAGCCTTTTTCTCGTTCCCGGACTGATTTTTTGGGGGAGATTCCAGGCAAAAAAAAATTGGGGAAAAAAATTCCCATTTTCCCCTTTTTCCCCCCATTTTCCCATTCCCCTTTTCCCATTTTTCCCTTTTCCCCCATTTTCCCATTTTTCCCTTTTCTCCCTATTTTCCCCTTTCCCCCCCATTTTTTCCCTTTTTCCTCCATTTTCCTTTTCCCCTTTTCCCACCATTTTCCCTTTTCCCATTTTCCTCTTTTCCCTCCATTTTCTCTTTCCCATTTTCCCCTTTTTTTTCCCCATTTTCCCCTAATTTTTTCTCTTTTTCCTCCATTTTCCCTTTTTTCCCATTTTCCCCCATTTTCCCCTTTTCTCCCATTTCCCCCCTTTTTTCCCTCCATTTTCCTTTTCCCCTTTTCCCCCCTATTTTTCCTTTTTTCCCATTTTCCCCTTTTTTTTCCCCCCTTTTCCCCCCCATTTTTCCCCCATTTCCCTTTTTTCCCATTTTCCCCCTTTTTTTCCCATTTCCCCCCATTTTTCCCCCCATTTTTTCCCCCTCCCCACCCCTCACCAGCCCCGGGTGGCCCCGGGGGCGGTCGGGGCCGCGCCCGGGTGGGTTCCTGGTACTCCCCGCTTCCGGTTCCGGTTCCGGTTCCGGTTCCGGGGGGGATCCTCTCGTAGCGGGGCAGCCCCCGCGCCCCTCCCCCGCCCGTGGCGTTGTTGATGACCACGGCGTCCCCCGAGAGCTGCACCCGCAGCGCCGCCTCCGGCCCGCCGCCCTGCGCCTGCGGCGACACCCCTTGGCACCGGTTCCGACCGGTTCCCACCGGTTCCCACCGGTTCCGACAGGTTCTGACCAGTTCCAACAGGTTCCCAGCGGTTCCGACCGGTTTTAGCCACGATCAGAACCAGTTTGGAGCAGTTGGAACCGGTTCAGCCCCAATTTGGAGCAGTTAGAACGGCTTCAGACCGGTTCCGACAGGTTCCGACAGGTTCCGACCGGTTCCGACAGGTTCTGACAGGTTCCGACCGGTTCTGACCGGTTCTGACCAATTCCGACAGGTTCTGACCAGTTCTGACTGGTTCCGACAGGTTCTGACCGGTTCTGACCGGTTCCGACAGGTTCTGACCGGTTCCGACCGGTTCTGAGTGGTTCCGACTGGTTCCGACCAGTTCCGACAGGTTCTGACCGGTTCCGACCGGTTCCAACAGGTTCTGACCAGTTCTGACTGGTTCCGACCGGGTTTAGCCATGGTTGGAACCAGTTCAAGGCAGTTGGAACCAGTTCAGCCCCAATTCAGAGCAGTTGGAACCGGTTCCGACTGGTTCTGACCGGTTCTGACCGGTTCCGACCAGTTCCAATAGGGTTTAGCCATGGTTGGAACCAGTTCGGAGCAGTTGGAACCGGTTTGGAGCGGTTGGAACCAGTTCAGCCCCAATTCAGAGCAGTTAGAACTGCCTCAGACCAGTTCTGACCAGTTCTGACTGGTTCCGACTGGGTTTAGCTGTGGTTGGAACCAGATTGGAGCAGTTGGAACCAGTTTGGAGCGGTTGGAACCAGTTCGGAGCAGTTGGAACCGGTTCAGACTGGTTCCAGCCAGTTCCAACCTGTTTTAGCCACGATCAGAACCAGTTTGGAGAAGTTGGAACCAGTTTGGAGCGGTTGGAACCGGTTCAGCCCCAATTCGGAGCAGCTAGAACCGGTTCTGACCGGTTCTGACTGGTTCCGACTAGGTTTAGCCACGGTTGGAACCAGTTTGGAGCAGCTGGAACCAGTTTGGAGCAGTTGGAACCAGTTTGAAACCAGTTGGAACCAGTTTGGAGCACCCTCCCAATCCCTCCCAATTCCCTCCCAGTCCCTCCCAGTCCATCCCAGTCCCTCCCAATCCCCTCCCAATCCCTCCCAATCCCCTCCCAGTCCCTCCCAGTCCCTCCCCATCCC